AGATAATGTGATAAAACTTTATGAGATCATGTTATGAAACATTTGCGATTCATAGTCATGGATAATAAAAGTGGCGAAATTCAGTTTTCCATAAATTATAAGCAGGAAGCCGTTGAACTGTATATTATACCCGTTTTTATTCGGCAATAATAATTGTCCAAGTGTAAGAGGCTTTCTTGCCAGAGGTTAAATTATGACATAATAATTTCTACAGTGTGTCCTATATTCTGAGCAGGTTAGATATGGGTACAGACAAATCCTCGTCTTCTCTCACTCTATAGTGTTTGTGAAACAGTTATACAGGGTGATTCAGGTTTTAGAGCACAAACTGAAATGGGAGGTAGATCTCATCATTTTAATCAGAAACATTCATATATACATCAGTTCGATCTCGTTCAGTAGCGGAGCTACAGGGGGTCAAAGTTCAATTATTTTTTCTATTAATTGAAATATCTCGCTTACTTTTCAAGATATCATTTTAAAATTTGCTGTGGTCGATACTATTCAGAATATCATCATTTCGAGCCATTTTGAGATTTTCAAAATCTACAGGGTGATACGGTTTTGGGGGTAGAGGCTTCTTTATCCCCCCCATACTTTTTCGTAGTACGCCTCTGGTATCTTCTTGTGATCAAATTGTGTGGATCGTTCAATTTAGAGGCTTTTTTGATCTTCAATTTTTTTCGAGAAACGAACTGTTTTTGAGATAAATGAGCATATACGTTCTGGAACATGTTAATTTTGCCTATGTTTCGCTTAAATTTCATTTAACTGAAAAAAAGACTCGACTTTCTACCCTCCGTATTTCCGTAACTGATCCAAATTGGACTAGTGATTGCAATTTTAGTGAGTACATTGCATTGTATTCTCAACGAATTTTGTCAAGGAATAAAATAGGCGAAATTAACATGTATTAGAACGTATATGCTCATTTATCTCAAAAACGGTTCGTTTTCTCGAAAAGAATTAGGAAGCAAAAAAGCCTCTAAATTGAACGATCCACACAATTTGATCAGTGAAAGATGTCAGAGGCGTACGACGAAAAAGTTTGAGGGGGATTAAGAGGCCTACCCACAAAAACCTATCACACTGTAGATTTTGAGAATCTTCAAATAGCTTGGAATAATGATCTTCTAGGAACTATTGACCACACCAAATTTCAAAATGAAATCTCAAGAAGTAAGCGAGATATTTCAATTAATAGAACAAAATTATTGAACTTTGACCCCCTGTAGCTCCGCTTCTGGACGAGATCGGACTAATGTTTATATGAACTTATCCGATTGAAATGATGAGATCTATCTCTCATTACAGTTTTTGCCTCAAAACCTGAATCACCCTGTATAGCTATCTTTATTCATTTCTGGGGATAAATTGTTGTTTTTTAGGTTATATTGAGGACATTGGCGTATCATACGTAATTTCCACATGTATTCACATACATATATCAAAATGATGATCATAATTTTCGAGTTTTTGATTTTTCAATTCCAGCATAATCTTTGTGAGGCAGTAAGCAAATTTTTCTGAAAGTTCAATACGTTTTTCCAAATGGGACTGTTCTTAGGCAGTACCTTTCAATAAATGAATTTTGATTTCAGACTAAAGTCCTTATGGTTGAGACATGGAGAAAAATTTTATGTAGGTATTTAAACTAATGTGCTCATATGTGATGACGTGTGCTGTATTCATGTTGGGAATCATTTTTGAAATTTTTCACGAACACTCAATATCTCCGGAACTGTTTTTACTAAAATGCATTCAAAAACTCGTGGATGGGCACAATGAGAAAGTATAATATGCCATTTCGTATTAGTTGTACCTCGAATATTCTGACTTTCAGTTTTTCTCGGACAAGGTGTTATTGGCTTATTTTTCGGAAGTGGCACAACAAAAGCCATCAACAGTGCACCTATATATCAGGGAAAAAAAGTAATTGACATTTTGTAACCTGTCAAACTTTTTTCCCATCACAAATTTTTTTTTCTGTCACGAGAAAATTTTTTTTATTTCATCTCTATCTACTCACTCAATGACAATCACTGAGATTTCTAATTACGATATAATAATTACAGACTATTCTCAATAGTGCTTTAGCCCTGGTTCCTCTGACTGAAAAAATGCTAGTTTGGGGGGAGGAGGCATATGAATTATGAAGTTATACAATCGAGAAGTGGGGTACTGGGAACCATTGTTAAGTAATTTTAAATAGAATTTTGGAACTTTATATACCAGACTTTCTACCCAGGAAGAAACAGGACTCTTTTTAAATAAGGAACAAACTTCAGACTAAGTTGATTCACCGACGAGAAACAATCGAAAGAAAATAAATGAATACACAAATTAATTATCAATCCGAAAGTTTCTTTCGAGACAGTCCGTGATTAATCTGAATGTTTTATCTGTTGAATTGCTGCGTAGAGAAATTAAATCTCTTAGGAGGTAGGTATTGGTATGTTTTCGACAACCTGATGAATAATTGATTCCTAAAAAAACACAAGGTATTGCTAGTTCGAGCCGAAAATAAAATAGTCGAATATCAATTCCCGATTCTCGAGAAAACAAAAACAAAACTTTAAGAAAATATCTTTGACCAAAAATAAATCATAATGTTGAATCAAGGCTCGAATCAAGGCAAAAAGATATAGAAAATATAAATAGGTATCTAATTGATTTCTGCTTTCAAAATGTTGGAGATTACTTCATTAGATTTTTCAAGCGCATTAAAATCTGAAACTTGTTTCCAAGATTAAAAATAACTTCGTTAGCTGTAGGCATTATTCAATATTTTCATGCATCCCGTATTACTGACGAAAAATAAAATAGCAGAGAGCAGAAAACTGTAATAGAATTATTAGAGGAATTTATATTCCATACTCGATGAAAAAGGCTAGAGATTTTTGGTTTACTGGGTGGCTTCGTAATTGGCGCTATAAATGAAGAGGTGGTGTTGTATCAGAATTGATGACACAATGAATTGAAGGATTCAAAAGTCATTAATACTGACGTTGCTTCTGATATAGCCGAAAGCAAACGCTTGAGCTCGGTTGTTGATGTGTTTCCGATAATATACAAAATTCCAACAAGATTTTCCATAATAATAATTTCAAAAAACTTCCATTTAATATTGTTAATTTGGGAACATCCTATATTCTACCTCTTTTAAATTGAGGGGTATATACCTCTGATGATTTTTCAAATAATTTCAAGTTCTTGCAAGAAATTGAAATCCTATGAAGGTGAGTTTTTTGCTCATCAAATAATTTATCAAGCAATCATACCTCGAATTATACTATCAATTTAAAAAAATTCCAAGGAATTCCTAATCATTCCTCAAAATTCTGAATTGTTCCAAGAGATTCCAGAGAACTCCTCAAAATTACAAACCATCAAAAACTACAGGAGTAAAAAAAGTCTTGGGTTTAAATTTTCAATCCAGACTTGAATTATTGAAATTGAAGAGATATTCGAACGAATTTCAGTTGCTTGGAAATGAAGAAATTGCAAGGTGCTTTTTTCCACAAAATCTCAAATTGAATTCGAAGTAGGAATTCCAAACCACAGTTTCAATTAATTCCAAATTATTTCCGATGAGTCAAACATCAATAATCATTACCTATATCAATTGAACCTATTTTACATTTGAATCGTTTCAAACGTTCTTCATACATTCCGGAGTCTTTCTTGATTAGTGATTCATGTTATTTAATTTGAGTTTACGTTTAATGTTGTTTCAGTGACGAATAGGTACATAGTTCGATTTTTATTATTAGTGAAATCTATCTATATATAGTTCGAAAATTTTTGAGTTTGTAAGATTTCTAATATGATTTCGAATAATAGAGTTTGATTTTATTTTCTACATTGAGTTAATATCATCGTGATTTTTTACAAAAATACCAATCACACTTCAGTTTCTACACCTATTATAGTTCTCTTCTCGTAAAAATGAAGCTATACTTTTCTGTTGATAATCCGAAACAATGTTGATTATCTATCTTATGTTATAATATCATTTTATGGGGTAACTCAGTCGATGTAACTAAAATATTCGTGACACAAAAGAAGATCATTCGAAAGATGTTCCGTCTAGAATATCAACAAACTTGTAAACCCACCTTCATAAAATATAAAATAATGTCTTTCTACAGCGTGTTTATTTATCACTGTCTTCTGTATGTGAGAAATAACATCAATACCTTCCAACTGAATTCTTCAAATCATTACTATGACACCAGAAACTCAGATCTCCTACGCATTCCCAAACACAAAACAACAAAACTAGAAAATAGTTTTAGATATATGGGAATGAAATTATACAATCATCTTCCAACATTAATTAAAGATATAATTTCCAATTCTTCTTTTAAACGAACTATAAAAAATTTAATGGTTACCAAATGTTATTATAGTATAAATGAATATCTGCAGGATGACTTGTAGTAGCCATTTTAGCCATTGTTGCCATTTGTTTTAATTTTTACTGACAATAATTGTATTCTGTGTATTTCATCATGTATTTCATTTTTAAACCATTTTGTAAGCGCTTGACTTGTCCTATACATTTTGTAATGTCTCAAAGGATGAAATAAATATTATATTATTATTATTATTATATTATTATTATTATTATTATTGTCATATTGGCTTCAGAAAACTTCTTGAACTGCTGCTTGAAGAACATTTTTCAGATATTATTCAGTGAATCAAATTTCATTCTGATGATATCCTCAAGGATATCAACTTATAGTTCGTGAAATATTCTTCAAATTAATTTTCTATGCTGTCAGAATTCATGAAGACGTTCAAATACGTTCAGTAATACTATAGTTTGTAATAATTACCGAAGGCGCAAAAATGTTTGGTCCCGCCAAAAAAAATTCGGACTCCATTTTCAATTGGTTGTAAATGGAGAAAGAAAATTCCAGTTGTAAAGTGGGGGTTGAAAACAATTGACAAAAAACACATCCGAACTATAGCTGGATAGGAATAGGCTTTACCTTGATTTCCGAAATAGCAGCTGCAATTGCGATATCCGCCATAATCTCTAACCACGGCAAATTGTCCAAAAGTTGATCGCTACTAGGGGGAACGCGTTCAATTTCACCACCTTGAGGAAAAGTTCTGTTCAACGCACGAGGATTCTCATCCGAAGAAAGCATTTTGCACACTATCCAGCGTCACACTTTCAACAACAAAACACTAAGTAAAAAGCAAGACCGCGACTAAGGATTCGTTCCAGTTAGTACACGGAGTTCATTTATCGCTGTCTCGATAGCTACTAATAGTTACTATCAAGCATCAGTAGTCTTAAATACGCGGCGAGCGATGTTTTCCACTTATCTTGTATTTATGTATGCGACAGAAGCTATATTATATTGAGTAAGCCGAATCGGAGTGTGTGCTGTTTCGCTCGTATTTTTTCGTATTTATAACTCGCTTGCATTATTCGCTATCCGGGTTTTTAGGTTATCCGTGGTTTGTTGATTTTTTTATCGCTTGAAGCGCACGAAAGGGAGTCCCTATAATGCTTATAGAACATCGTGCGTACCTACGGAGTATAGGGAGAGGAGGTATCTATTGCGGATTTTTTTTTAACTTTTGGAGAAACTTCGGTAATTTTGCTCTTATCATGCGATGGGTTTTTTTTAGAAATTTTTTTCTGGTACTTACGTATTTTTGTCTGAAAAACACGAATTTGATAATGAAAATGTGAACAAACCATTATTTATCAAGATATTTCACTATATATAAAGTTACAAATTTCACCTTCTTTTCCGCCTGTCTTCTGGATCGCATTTTGAACAATTTGCCCTTCTTTTTCATCATTGGACAATTTATATATATCACACAATGTTGAACACATTTTTTCTATTATATGAGACAACTAGAAATATGATTTTCTTGTAATTCATCCATGTTTAGTGAAAAGAAGGAAGAATATCATTTGAGATAATGGCGTGTGTAATGTCATTCCAAAGCAATCTATTGACATTTGACATCTCGTATTTGGATTGCCTATGGATTAAAATGGCCGTCATCTGGTATGCTTGCTCACTAAATAGGAATAACTCGCCATAAAAATCACATTTCCTGTTGAATTAAAATGTGTCATTAAAGTACATCATGAGTATATAAATTGTCCAATGACAAAATAAAAAGAGCAATTACCTGTAAATGCATCCAACACTAGGGGGAAAAGAAGGCTACATTTCGAACTTTTTCTTGAGATATCTCGATAAATAATGGTTTATTAACATTTTCATTATCAAATTCGTGTTTCCCAGACAAAAATACGAAAGAAGCAAAACAAATTTTCGAAAAAAAAAACCATCGGATGATAAGTGCAAAATTACCGAAACTTCTTGAAAATACTTCCTTAGGCAATGCATTCCACAGAGCTTTGCCGTTCTATATACAGGTTGCTCGTTTTTCGAGTTCCACCATAGGGATCTCAGTTTATTATAAGAGATACGAGGTCGGTTGAATTAGGGCAAAGTTGCTGAACATTTATCTGAAAAAAAATTTTCAGTTTTTGAATTATTTGAAGAACACGAAAATTCGTAGTTCTCGTTTTTATTTTTTCAAGCGAAAACCAAAAGACAGACGTTTCTGACTATAGGATATTCTTAGGGCACTTTTTTACAAGGAATCTGAATCTGTCATCGTATTTTCCATGATGTTCTTGATGCCAAAGTTACAACACTCAACTTTGTTTTTTCTGATGGGCGCCATATTGGATTTATGCATCTTTGAAAAGTCTTTTTTTTTCTGATTACAATGATGTATCACACGATATGAACGAATCTTTCCTGTTGATTAAAATTGGGAAAAAAACTTTTTTGCGTAGAGTGCTTTGGAAGGAAAGCCAACAGTTTTGTTCAACAAACTGAATTTTGACAGTTCAATTGAATATGCGGACAGAACTGTTGAATTCTATAACGCAAGAAAGGTTGCCGAGTGTCTGTCAGATTTTGTTACCTGACAAGGTGATTTCCAACAACGGAGACATACGTTGGCCAGCGCGGTCACCTGATCTCTCTCCGCTGGATTATTATTTATTGGGAACTATAAAAGATTTGATTTTCGAGACTGTACCGATCGATATTGATGAGCTGAGGAGAACCATAATCACCACTTTCAGGACTAAGATAAGAAGACGGGACGTCTCCCGAGCTATTCAGAATCTGAGGAAACGCGTAGAATTGTGTTTATTTACAACCATATTATGTGATGTTGTCATTGCTAACGTCATCGAAGGTTGGGAAGTGTCACATTACACACCTCCACTTCCCGCCCTCACTTCCCGCCCCTCACTACTCACCGCCCTCACTACCCGCCCTCACTCATGCAATAATTCAGGTATGTTCAGAACGAAACATTTATTAATTTTGATCGAAATATGATGGTTGTAAATCGTGAAAATCATCCATATCTCAAAGTGGTCCAATAAAATTTCAAAAGAAAAAACAAAAGACTCAAAGTCAGTCGACCACACATTTATATAACATCTATATCGTCAAAAACATGTTACCGGTTTCGGCACAACCCAATTCCCTTTGACTCTAATCACCCACATTCTCATAAGTACTCAGCTTTTAATAGTCTGTTCCATAGAGCTTTCTCACTTCCCCTTTCCGATCACGCTTTTTCTAAAGAAATCAATATCATCAAACAGATTGCAGTTAACAACCATTACCCCTTAGAAAATGTCATGTCAATCTATTTTAAATTTTATACCAAGTTCAAACTAACGTTCAATGTCTTTTCCAGTCAACCTCTAGTTCCTCCTATATATAAATCTCTTAATTTTTTCGGACATTATACTTTCAGGAAAAAAATCTGAACATTCGTATTTCTTTTAAAACTACTTCTAATCTTAAACATATTTTTATTAATTCCAAAGACAGGATCCCCCTCAATAAAAAATCTGGTGTTTACAAATTGAATTGCAATGATTGTAATGCTGCTTATATAGGTCAAACAGGTAGAAGTTTTGAGATTCGTTTCTCTGAACACAATAGACTGATTAACAAATTCTTGACTGCAGTTGATTCTGACTCCCCATCTTCGTTTGCCAATCACATTATTGATTTTAATCACTCCTTTGATGTCAATATTAATTCAGAAATTCTTCATATCTGCGGGTCCTAGGTTAAATCTTCTTGAAATTTTGGAAATTCAAAAATGCATTAATAATCAAAATGTTTCATGTCTCCATGATCAAACTAATTTTGAACGTAATCATATTTTCAGAACATTACATTTTTCATAATTTCTGCTCGTTCCATTCTGGTAGTTGCTACCCCGCCACTGGAGTTTCCGATGTAACAATTTTCCCCTCTTCTTCTTCTGTTTCTTCTCTTGTTCTCCACTAGACGCTACACTTACTCCTCTTCTTGTTTCTGTGACCTTTCCATTTTCTCCTCTTCTCCATGGTTTCTCTTCACCTTGCCTTCTTCCTCCTTTTTCGTCCCCCTTTTTTTCCTCCTTCTTAGGTACTTACTTCTCTTAGTTCTGTTGTTAGTCTATAACCTTCACTTTTGTTTGTTGTTCCATGTACAACTGTCATATGTCAAAGTCTTTGTCGACCATCAAATTCTTATTTCTTTGTCTTATTCTGTTATGTTTGCTTTTAGCTTAGCATGATTCAAGTTTAAAAAAACAATTTTTTGGATAAGATGTTCAACCTTATCAGAGCCAGTTTTTTATGGCTCTTCAGTGAATTCAAATGGTCATTTGTGCCTGAGCCTGAAAACCCAGTGATGAATCTCCTGCCATACAACATGATTTTTCTTCTTGTTCAACTTAATTTTTAATGATGTTATAGTGTGCCCATAATTTTGTCGGTAGGTTTTGTATTTCTTCTTTCTTCGTACTGTATTATCTAATTTATATTTACAGGTACTTTTTGTCTGATGATGGCCGTTGTGCCGAAACCGGTAACATGTTTTTGACGATATAGATGTTATATAAATGTGTGGTCGACTGACTTTGAGTCTTTTGTTTTTTCTTTTGAAATGATGGTTGTAGATGAAAAAGCATACAAACCTCGGTAGGAACTTTCATTCCTGTCTCGAAACTACTAACTAATCTCACGACAGGAATGAATCACTTCTCACCTCGGTGTGTAATATACTATTAGAAGTGGAAGGTGGAGTATTCGAGCATCTTTTAGAACTTTGTTTTGATTCGCGAAGAATAAACTTCTACCTTATTACGTCGTTCCTAATTCACAATCATAGTTTTTTTAGTAGATGAGCTTGATGAAAATTTGAACGTTCCAGATCCGATTTCAAATAAACTGTCAAAATTCAGCTTGTTAAACAAAACTGTTGGCGTTCTTTCCGAAGCACTCTTCGCAAAAATGGTTTTTTCACAATTTAGATCAACAGGAAATATTCGATCATATCGTGTGATACATCATTGTGATCAGAAAAAAAAATCCAATAAGAAAAAAAGAAGTTGTGTGTTCTAACTTTGGCATCAAGAACGCCATGGAAAATACAATGACATATTCAGATTCCTTGTAGAAAAGTGCCTCAAGAATGTCCCAGACAGAAACGTCTTGGTCTTTTGGTTTCCCCTTGAAAAAATGAAAACGAAAATTATGAATTTTCTTTACCTTCAAATAATTCAGAAACTAAAAATGTCACATCGAATTTTCTAGCAGACAAATGTTCAGCATGAAAATGCGCAACTTTGCCCTAATTTAACCTACTTCGTATCTCTTATAATAACTGAGATCCTAATGGTGGAGCTCGAAAAACGGACACCCTGTTTAGACAAACGAGATAAAGTACTAATCGACATATTCCCAGATTGACAACGTTAAGATGTGCTGACTGGGCTTGTCGCGTTCGTCTGACTGGTATTGCTAGTGATGGAATGATATTATCAGAAATCTCCGAAGATTGTCCGTGGAAGTATCTATAGAAAAGTGAATGGTCGCCAACTTGTCTACGGTGTACCAATGATGTTAAAGTTTTAGTGAGTGTGACATCACCCACCAGGCGAATGGCTCTTCTCTGGATAGAATCTGAGAGCATCAGCGTATGTTTGGGTGCTGAACCGCATATGGGGGAACATTATTATAGAAGTAGAACAGGCCGTACCTGTGCTTTGTAGATTATGAGAAGCTGTTGAGGTGTAAAGTAGCCTTTCGCACGGAACCGAAACCGGAGTTTTCGTGAAGCAGCCTTCGCGATAAATCTGACATGATTAGAGTTATGGAAATATCGGGACTTGGTGGGAATGGTGGTACCAGACATTGATACATCAGCCTTCTAGAGAAAATACAGGCTTGAGTTTTGATGGAGTTGAATTCAACTATAGGTTGTGGGCAGTTATTTTAGCAAAATCTTCATTGACAGCGTTGACCTGTTGACCGGCCTTTGCTGTGAGTTTATAGTTTCCTAGGAAGAAATGGAAATTCTGGAGGAGAGCGCAGTATGGAGAGTACTATC